CTCCATGGTCATTGGTCAGCTGGTATTATGCGCTCGCCGCTCGCGCGCTTGCATGACAAGGCCGAGAAATTTCATGTTCATGGAAGACTCCTATCCCGAAGCCTAACCTAGGTTTATGGGCTGAAGGGGAAATTGGGGATGCCCCCAACGTTATACATCATACCTCACACCGCGCCAGAACAAAACACCCTAGCCGACAACCCGTGTTTCGCTTGAGGCAGTCTACAGCTAACGCTGAGCCCTTCGCCAGCTGCCCAGACCAAGACCCACCATCCATCGCTCATGCTGGCACCTCATCTGAAACACGTGGCATAACAAAGGGCCGTCTAATTTCGCCGCCCTAGGTCGACAATCAATCGGTCCCAGCTCCAATCTCGGCGTGAAAGAAGACGTGTGATTTATGGCCAGTGCGCCGTGAATTCGCAGACGAATTTGAATGTGTCCCCATGGGTCTCTGCAGGCGCACATGTATCTGATCATCGATTGTGCTTCGTGGAAGCGTTATCAAGAGCGAGAGCAGGGAGTCTTTTGGACATTTAAATAGCAGAGCTAGATTCGAATTTGATTAAGCTAAGACAGCCGGAAAGGGAGCGATGGGTATCTGCATAGATTTCAAGTAATGGTCTCGTTTGGTTTCATGAGTTAAGGGACTTTACCCTCAGTCGGGGTTGTCATTGATATGACAAGGGCAAATTGCCTCATCGGCTCTGTATCGGTCGTACAGTGGCACACGAAAGCGCATAGTGCTGTGACTTTTGATGCTAGACAGGGCTTACAATATTAGATGTTTGAGATTTAGAGATTGGAGAGGACGTGCTTGACTTTTCGTTTTCAGCATCATCTGTCGTCATTTTTTTTTTCAACAGAAAACAAACACCAGGCGACCTCACGCTCTAAATATTTCAGCGAGAGACTCACACATAATGCGACTCAGTGAGGCTTCCAATCAACATCAAGACCCATCTTGATGATACGTTGATTACTTTTAAATTTGCATTGCATGTAGCGGTTCAATGTAAAGAGAAACTCCTAAAGTAAGGGTCTACTTTAAATAAAGTTTCTCATCTAATAATGTTGATTTTTGGACGTGAGTGTGTGTGGGTTTCATCCCTCTTTTTATTATTTATCATTTCTATCTGTTCTCTTTTTTAAAGAGCATCTACCAATTATTAGTCTGCATGACAAACGTGGGGAGCTGGGCGTTCATTTGTTTTTCTTTTCTTCTATCACAATTGATGATGCGCCTCGCCCCTGGGACCATCGTCCATTAGTTGACTCATATTGGAACAGTGTTCCGAAAACATCTCGTTCAAACCAATTTATCTACAGCACGGGGCATTACATCCAACAAGGAAAACTTTTAAATAACTCAGTAATGAAATTTATTTTCACGGAAGGTATAAGCCGCCTTTACTACAGGCATTTGCATTAGCGATTTGATTATCAATGGGTAATTATCAACTTTTTAGCATTTTATTTTATATCCTTTTCAAGCCTTCCTGACTGCGATTTATTCAGAGGCATTGTCGAGGGTTCGATAACACGTGATAGGAAAGTGTACGACGCATGATCGGTGATAACCGTAACTTATGCAGCCTGTTTAATTTGAATCTAATGTCTAAGCTGCATCTGGGCCAAAATGACAAAATAATACGCGAAAGCAAGAAGCATGCACACCGAGCATGCACCCAATCCTTTACGGTGGCACCGAGCCAAGTGGACAAGCAATAGCCGGTTCTTGGAATTCGGAGATGTAGTGAGCGCCGGCTGTTAATTTGATTGCAGCCGCGTCGGACCTTCCTACCCGATCCTAATTGAAGCATTTAGTGCCGACAGCCGAATCGCAGGGCTAATCGGTGACGTTAATCGTGGATGTAACCTCCACCACTGGCTTTGCCGAGCCTCTACCACTGTTCCAACAGTAATGAATTTGAAGAAACCGAAATGATTTTAATCCAACTAATGGAAAAATGCATAAATGCATGTGAAGTACTAACCCTCGCACGACCAGGCCATTTCTCATAACACGAACGACCATGGGGGGGGGTTGTTACGACCCCCCCCCCCTGGCGTTTCGAAACGGAAGGTCGTAGAGCTTAGCGGAAAAACCAACGGATTGCTCTCAACGAGATCTCGCGATTGGTGGTATATTTTTTGGTCCTAGGTCAACATTTGACCTACTTATGACCGGTCAAAGGTCAAATTTTCCGAAAAAATCAAACTTTTTCAACTTTGCGCAACGATTGCGGCAAAACGGTGAGAGATATTAACTTCAAACCTTCAACAACGTATTCCCCACTCAATTCTGCATCATATATGGTGTTTTTGGTGTATTTACCCTATAAAAGTAAGAGGCCTATTGCTGATGAGTGATATGGTGTCACATCACCCTCCGGTGTTTGTCCCGATTCGTCGGCTGTTGACCACTGCTCCGCTATAAATACTGTAGGTAACGACTCAGAAAAGATATGTGGATATCCACTGCAATGTGGATAGCATCAGCAGAAAACCTCGGGACTCGGTACACACTTCGTGAAAATCCGGCCGGAGGCTGTGCCTCTTATGACGTCATAACTCCGTGACCTGACCTGACCCGGTCAATTTTCTTGCACCACACGATAGACAATGCTTGCCCCAACATGCATGGGAAGTTTCATCATGATCCATCAAACAATGTGGGCATCACCGGCAGAAAACCTAGGGATTCGGCGCACACGTTTGGTAACTGTCGGCCGGAGGCTGTACCTCTTATGACGTCATAACTCCGTGACCTGACATGACCCGATCAATTTTTTTCGGCAAAAGATGCGCAAAGGTTGCTCCAGAGGGTATTGAAAATTTCAGCCCGCTACGACAAGCCGTTTAGCGTGCACTTCGAAAAACCTCAGGGGGGGTTGATACAACCCCCCCCCCCCCCTAGGCGTTCTAGGGCTAAAGCTGGCAGCTGCGTAGTGCATTTCTCCACTGACAATCAGAGTGTCATTTAGAGCATGCTCTCAGTGTGCAGTTGTGCACCGCACAGCATCTGAGGCAGCAGTCACCCATGACGACCTAGCTCCGACGCTCAGCAGCAGTCTCAGTGCCTGGTAAGAGCAGCAGCAGCAGCAGCAGCCACCGCATCCGTGGCGTTAGTTACCACAGAACAGCTATTCGTAAAACAGTGCTTTCCGCGATAACTAATTTTCGTACCTGCGATAACGATAAAACGATAAGTAAGGTTTGCGATAACGATAAACGATAAACGATAATAATTTTCAAAAAATTAACAGCGATGGCGATAAAACGATAAAACTATAACGGCAATTGTTTTTTTTAACAGCGATAACGAAACGATAAACGATAAAACGATAACGATAATTATTTGTAACAGCGATAACGAAACGATAAACGATACAACGATAACGATACTCGTTTTTTTAACAGCGATAACAAAAGCGATAAGAAATACAGCTTAAATAAGCGTACTTTAAGTTTATTTGCAGATCTATACACTTAGCAGATGGCAACAGGTTGCGCACCACATACTGTCGCGCAACATACACTGTCGATCGTCTCCCATTTTTCCATCATCCCGGTTTACATTTTATCGTTATCGTTCATAATTTTTGTAACTTGCGACAAGTGGATGAGCGATAATTTTGAAAATTTCGCGATAAACAATAACGATAACCGATTTACCTAACAGCAATATTTATCGTTTATCGTTTATCGCTCATCTTATCGCATGCGGAAACCACTGTCGTAAAGTAATATTGGAATAGTTCGCTTCACATCCACTAGGCGACTGTTCCGTACCAAAAGCCTTCATACCCAGTCGCAGAGGCGTGAGCAACATCGTTCTTTCCACACTTCCAATGTCCGATCTTCTGAACACATGACTAGATTAAGCAGATTGCAACTCTTCATATCTGCAGCAGGCCGCAAAAGATCTTAGATGGTCCGGTAGGCATTTCAGGTGATACTTCATCAATACTTCAAAACCAACTTTCAAAGCAATGCCACTGGTCTCTCACCTTGCAGCCTGGAAATCCATCCGTCAATCTATGTTCTCCATAATACGGCAATTCCATTAATGGACTTGCCGTGTATGCTAATGGATCTCACGTGCCGTTCTGCTTTGTCTCAGCGATAGTCAGATCATCCTCTACTGGGAATCACTACGGCTGCCGGTGTTCAGATCAGATTGAAACTCATGAAGCGATGGACAGGTGATTGGTGGCGATAGCTGGAAATACCGACCTAATGATCTTTGATCAAAGGAGGTGATTTAATGTGAGGATGCACGGTAAATTTGCGATGCGATAGGAAACTTGCGATAAGATAAGAAATATAGCTTCATCGCGAGGGTCTATATCGAGGTCACCCTTCGCCATCTAAGGTCAACTTAGATAAGAGATTTGTGTGGTTTGAAGGAGCTCTCAAGAGCTAAAGCGATAGAGAGGTGCCAACAATAAACAGGAACTACAAAATGGCGTTTTCGATCGTGACAACTACAAGATCTCTGCCTCCACGGCTTCCACCTCAAAGAATCAATCGTATCAGTCTGAACGTCAGCACACTAGCTTCTGATACGACTTTCAAACTTCACGCATCAAATCCACGTCAGATTCTTGACAGATGATATGCGTGCCTGCCAACCTCAGCAGACGCCCCACGGGAGTCGGCCACTTCCGCCGATCACAGTCCGAATTTGTCCGAATCGCTACTGCCCTTCTGCCGTCCGCTGTAAGATAGGTAGGTTATACCATCCGTGCCGAAAGGCGAAACCACCTCAGCTGTCTCCATCCTCCTCTCGGCCGCCCCCCTGCGTGCTCTCTGGCACGGGGTGGGGGCGGGGGTGGGATCTATGTGAGGACCGGCGCACAATCACACGGGAGTGCCTGTCCTGACGAATTATCACCGGCCTGGCCAGCGATCGTCGCCTCCATTCATCATGCGCGCCATTATTCTCCTGCCAGTTGGGGTAACAAAGCGGGCCGGCGCGGACCGTGTCGATGCCGATGGCCGCGCGGCGCGTCTCAGTCGTCGGCCCGCCGGCTCCGACGGCGGTGGTGGACGCGGCGGTGGCGGTGCGGGTGGCGGCGGGCGGCCGGAGCGGCGCGTCTCCTCGGCAGACGGCCAGTGGGCGCCGCTGGACTGGCGTCGGAAGACGGTAGGTGGACCACTCTGGACCTTTGGCAGACGACGGTGGTTTTGGACCAGGGCAACCCATTGGACATGTGAAGGAAGACGATAGGTAGGACTCGAACCTTCGTCAGAAGACGCGAGAGAATCCAAATGAACTCTCATCAGATATCATATTATGGACCCAATTGAACCCTTATTTTGCGTTGCTGTTTGATTCCCATTCTACCCTTATCGGACAACAAGCACATTAAGGAAATTTATGTATTGGAAACACAGTATTGAAATTTATGGAGGTCTGGACCAGGAACGGTCAGTAAGAGATGCTGGAAGTGTTATTGTTGCTTTCAATATCCTTGACTGACTCAATTAAATGAGTGGCAGTGCTATGAAGCACATATCTACATATTTGAGCAGATGACACGTGTCACAAACATTTATATTTGTCAATCTGCTTTTGTGGAAGCCTGCAAAAACCTATGAAACAATACTGATTGCAAAACTGGTGAATGCCATCGGCGACCCAAAGATGTGGAATTATTATCTTTATTACCTGGACGTTTGTGAAACATCTCGCGAAGATCGATGTGGGCTTAGTTTGAGGCCACAGCTTCTGTATCATGACGAGTTATTTGAATTAAATAAAAAGTATAGCTGAATTATGCATTATAGTTTCGACTTCCGGATAGAATATGGGGGTCGGCTGGGTCGGCTGCTATATTTAGTATTCGTTCAGACGCATCCACACAAATAGGTTAAAAATATATGCTAAAAACTCGCATCAAAATATCCCAGGAAGCGAGAACGTTCTACAGACTTAGGAAAGCCAGGCCGGCAAATCACCGCGCTGCCTATTTTCCCGGCACGCTCAAACTGAAACCCTTCACACCACATCAATGCACGTTTTCGTTTCCCTCGTCATGTCGGGCTTCCGTGCGAGAGCGCTGAGGGCGCGCCCTGTTCCGAACTGCGCGCCACGGGCAGTCTAGGGCCATTTGTCGGTCGGCTCCGCGGCCCCTCGGCAAGTTATGGGCCACGGTGTATAAACCGCCGCCCATAGCGCTCATACTTGACGACATAACTTACCTTAATTGGGCGATCTGCGAGATGGCTGCGCGACTGAGGTCGTTTGGTGTCATCACTGCGATTAGGTGCTCAGATGGCACATCAGCGGCGTTATAGTTAGTTGGTTGGTAGTGGTTTTCCTATTCGTTCGCTGTTATTCTGCCAAACGCCTCTCAGTTTGGTAGGACTGTTTGTGATTTCAGTGAAGTGTTTGTGTCGAAACTCTACAGAGCTTGCTTAATGAAATGCTAACGAGGCGAGTTGTTGCGATAATTATGAGCCATGGTCTACTGAATGCATCGTTGGACGCGCATACGTCCGGCTCTGAATGCGGCCTTTGTTGAACATTATTCCTGAATGCCTCGATTACCGTATGCAGATGTAGAATAAAGCCATTCAATGGAAAATGGCCCCAATAACACACGATTGATGTTATGTCTGTGGTACTACTCTTTATCAAAAGAGAAATAAAAGTGACGTATAGAAAGTCGTCTAAATTCTGTATGCATTGTTTTAATTTCACGGACGCTGGAAGCGAAATATATTATCAATTGTTTTAACCCGCGCACCGACGGGGGGGCGGATATCCGCCCCCCCCCTGAGGTTTTTCACGGATAGCGGGAAAACCGCGGCGCGTAGCGCCGCGAAATTTGGTATGACTATTCTCTAATCAATTTTACACATGGTGTGCAAGTTTGAACCTCCTAACTTTTAAGGTCAGGTCACCAGGTCACTTTGAATGACCCAACCTCAAGTCACTTTTTTGCAACTTTGTCACCGTGCCAGAGCTACAGTAGATGTCGGAGGCCTTTGAAAGTCGCAGGATGTTATTAGGTCATTAGTAGCTACAATTTGTATATCTCGGAATTTCGATGTCGGTGACCTAAGGTCAGGTCAATTTCGTGACCTCCCCATTATAAGTCAATGGGGGAAAAATCAACTCCCTGTTTTTACCACTAAAACGGGTCAGAATGGCCCCATATACCATACATGACTTCACATACGATCAACCTTCACTACCTTGAGGTCTGTTTTGCTGTTGGGCAGCTGTAAGGTCATGTGACGTCATCAAAGGTCACCAAAGGTTTTTTGCCAATAACTCCTTACAGGAACAAGATACAGCCGCGCGGATGGTCTCATTGTGTTCAGCTCGTCAAGACGCATCGAATGATATACATGATGACCTCGAGGTCACGTGACCTGAGGTCAACCTTTGACCTTGACCTTTCGAGGTCAACATATATATCATTCGATGCGGATTGACGAGAGGATCACGATGATGCCCTTAGTTTGTTCCTATCTTGACGACTTCGAAAGTTATTCGAGAAAAACCCTCTCCATATCTAGCGCCGCCATTTTGACTTTTTCGACCCCTGTGGCGTCATCTTTGACCTGACCTGAAAATGACCTTAGTAAAAATTGTAGACCTTGTCCGTGCGTATCCGATGCCGTTTACCGCTTGTCGCTATCTTGCTTCGTTCTCGAGATCTCAGGGGGGGGGCGGTCATCCGCCCCCCCCCCCCCGTCGGTACTAAGTTGGCGCAGACCCCCGTCGGTGCGCGGGTTAAGCTTAATAAAATGTTTTGGCGGTCCTTTGTGCAAAACTTATTTGTAGGTACGATCTAACATCAACGGCATAGCTTCAGCCATGATAGATAGACTCCCTACTAGTATACCCTCTTGCGAGTACTAGTCTATCTACTAGTCTATCTCGCAAGCAACGTAAAGAGATCAACATACGCCAGGCAGCTTTGCAAGTATTTAGACCTTTAGCTTCGGCCGACCGACATGTTCAAAGACCATGCACTGCTAGCGTGAGACCGAGGCATCAACAAAGCTGTTTTGGCAGCTCAACTTTGCCAGTAGATAACTGAAATGCTGTCTGACCGAAGTTTTCGTGGCGACAGTTATCGATATATCACGACGTTTACTGGAGTCTGTGTCCGTGAAGATTTCTTGTTTTGGTCATCAATTGGCGCCACTTGTCAATTGTTTGGTGCTGACACAATGGTTTGGTGAAACAGCTGCCGACGACAAGGCTGTAGGTACACCGCTGGTCCGATAAATGCTGAAAGGTTGGAGTCCGTTGAGATACCTGGTAATGATCTGCAATTAGGTACTCAAAAACTTATAGAATTTGACGTGCGTCACTATATCTTCCTGATTAGTTTATACCGCCCACAATTAAATTGTCTTTCTTCGTCGTTTTTTTCTTTTAGTTTTAGCAGATTTGTGGTAGGGAAGCAGGCCGGCCACCCGGAGCATCACACATAATTGGTATATTGAATAATGGAGGATGATCTATTACCTATTAATATTACTTTTTATATACCGTAAGCAGGATAGAAAAACGACCAGTCCATGGTGTCCGTAGAATGCCCGTCTATCTTTTTTATCTATCATTTTCAACTACCTTTTTCTATCATTTCGGATTTTTTCTATCTTTTGCTATCCCTCGTTTCGATTTCACTGCCACTCTCGCTCATGCGGCACCGTACCATGCACCATGTCATTCTGCCTCACTGCATACACACAACGCTTACGTCTATTTTTCCAAACCACTATTTCCTGACCCGCTGTGTCCTTGTCTATACACTGAGGCCATGCATGCTCATCCATTATCGCTAACATGCTTTTGGCCGATGCTAGGCTAGCTGTATTTCCACATACCTCAGTGCCCCTTCCAAGGTGTAGTTTGGAGATTTCCTCCCCCCACCCCCCCCCCCCCACATGCTCCAAGGCCAAAAACATGCCATATTTCGCGCACAAAATGAGAATGTCACAAATTTCATTCCAAAAGTTCGTTTTTAATTGTACAACAACACGTTAGCGAATCCAAGGAATTTGTGACGTTCCTAGACAAACTTTTTGAATCGCATAGCCTTCCCAATGTTCCATACCAGCTTTCTGAATCCGCGAACATGATTCATGAAAACGTAACTTGAATGAGAGCAAGCAGGCTATTATTCCAGCCTTATGCCACCTTTCTGGATCCGCCAATTTCGTGTCATGAAAACATTCGTTTAAAGGGAAGAAAAGTGGCTATTATTTCAGCCTTGTCTTGCTCACTGCTTCATGGAGCCTCCACTGCCCATATTTCTGCCGGCAGAAAGTAAATACTTACATTATGCACTTCCAAGGGCACCTAGCCTTTGGTGAGATTGGATTGTCTTATATGGATCTCGGATATCTCAAGCGGCTCTATACGTGATCATTCATCGGTTTGGATAGTCACGTGCATTTTGACGGCTCTCATTGATTTGTTATACCTTTCGTGTGTTCAGTGTTGCTTTGCGGGATTTGCTCAACCTCTGTAGCTTTCGATGGTTATGAGAAATCTCTGTAGAATCTACAGAAAATAATCTACAAACTATCTGTAGAGGTTCACGGAATGGAATAATTATCTCCAGTACCTATAGAATTGCAGATATCGGCGGTCTCCGCAGATATCGCTGGCCGAACGCGGACCTCCGTGTCTACGTTCGTCGCTCCGCAGCCGACGCTCTCATGGGCGGCGGTCGATGGTGGTCGGTACTGATGACCAGACGCTCTTCGCCGGGTCACAGTCGCCCCGGAGGTCATCACTGGACACGGGTGTCATTCGCAGCCGAGTCGGCGCCACGCGGCGAGGGGAGTCTATGGGGACTGTGAGCCCAATGTAGCGGAACAGGGACACGGGCAGAGATGGGGGGAGCATCATGGACACAGAGGGAGTAACCGAAACAGAGGGAGATGTGGCTGAGAAGGGAGATCTGTGTGTAACAAGAACAGAGACACACTGTGGGCGTAACTGGAAGATGGGGAGAGATGCAGATAGAGCAAAATTAGGGGAGATCGTGGAGCACGATTCCTGCTTCATCCCACCGTGTCCTGTTCAAGGTGCAAAGAGGTGATGGATGGAGCAGGAGACGAGGAGAGCTGGAAGCGTAGCTGAAATAAAGGGACAGCTGAAAACGGAACACG